GCGCGGATGGAATACAAACAGCACCCTAAACTCTACACCCTAAGCCCTGAACCCTACGCCCGAAACCCACAACCCTAAACCCTCCCTACAAAAAACCCTGAACTGTGAACCCCAAAACCCAGACCCTCCAAATCCTTCTAGAACCCTGAGAATCCAAATCCTTCTAGAACCCTGAGAATCCCCCCGTCTGGAGGCGCTGATGGAGGTGTAGATGGGCGCAGTGGCCAAGCCTTGCAACACCCGCCAGAAGAGCCATCCTGGGGTGGATAGGCTGGCTTGTGTTTAGGGTTTAGGGTTTAGGGTTTAGGATTTAGGGTTTAGGGTTTAGGGTTTAGGGTTTAGGGTTTAGGGTTTAGGGTTTGGGGTTTGGGGTTTGGGGTTTAGGGTTTAGGGTTTAGGGTTTAGGGTTTAGGGTTTAGGGTTTAAACCCTAAACCCCAAACCCTAAGTGGGGGTGGAAAAGTCTGGCCCCCCCCCCCTCTCGGGCCTGGCACAGTGCGGGCAAAGCCAAAGCCGAGGGAGCTCAAGGCCAGCAACCTGAGTTGTCGGCTCGTGTACATGAAACCACAGCCCTGATGAGGTGTAGGGTTTGGGGTTTAGGGCTTGGGAACGACTTTTTGTTTCTATTAACAAAAAGAAGGTGCCGTTTTCATGTACAAGTTCAGATTTTCATGTCCATGTTATCTTGATATTTCTGAACATGCATGTGAACTATTTTCCGTGCAGTTTGAGGCTCGCATGTGCAGCCGACACCCAACCCATCCCTTGTTTGCTGCGAATGCAGCCAGGTCTCCCGCGTGTGCGGTTACTCTCCAATTCCTTTTACACTATCTCTTGGCCCTGGGCCCCTGCCCATGGCAGGAGGTCACGACTTACGGGTTAAATCCCGCAAAGCGCTTCGTCCCAAGAGGTTAAAAAGATACAGATGTCCGTATTTGGGTGAGTGGGATTCTTCCCTTTCATATATTCCTGGAATGACGCCTGTCAAACGGGTTTGACAGCTCGGGATATCTTACTTGGCGCAGCGTGGCCAAGTTTCATTAAGTCAGATCTTCACAGGATTGACGCATGAGCATGAAATAAGAGAATTGTGTATATCGCATGCACCCGTTCGCCCACGGGGGAAAATAAAGATTCCTGCGTGGAAAAGACGAAACGGAGAACGGCAGCGCACGCAAGGCATTTCATATCATGGGCTTTGCTGCAGTGCCCGCACTTACCATACAAGCGACTTCACACAGATTCAGATTTTCTAACATCTTTTGATCGTGTCATCACGACCAGCACAGGATCAAGTCCCTAGGATACCCAAACCCTCGGAACCCACATGGGAGGCCCTCACCTGTCGGCCATTTGGGGTTTGGGATTAGGGGCTCAGGGACTTCCATCATCTCCACGGAACGCCAGGCCAATATTCAGGGTCGTCTCCACCCCCAGCCTGCCCAGGGCTGATTGCCACCGACATTCTTGCTACTGCTACTGGGCAATTCCATGCCTGGTCTTGCACTTGAGGCTTTGGATGCTCGTGAATAGGTCTCGGGTTTAAGGTTTGGACCTGTAGGCCCAAGGCGAGCACAACAATGCTTCACATTCAATCACTCATAGGCTCAAGGCGTTGAGGTTCAGCCGCGTTTGTCCCAACCCCCTCAACCTAAACCCCTCAACCCCAAACCACGAACCACATATGGCAAGTTTCTGACCAGCAGAAGGGGCTCTTTCGATTGGGTCCCAGATCAACGTGGCCAGTCTGCCGACAAAGCCGTCTATGCTTATACACGCTCAAGCTACAACAACTTCACACGCCGCAGCAGCAGCAGCAACAGCCGCAGCAGCCGCCGCAGCAGCCGCAGCAGTAGCAGCAGCAGCAGCAGCAGCAGCAGCAGCAGCAGCAGCAGCAGCAGCAGCAGCAGCAGCAGCAGCAGTCGGCCTCGCGATCATCCGGTCCATGCCGAAGTTGCCTCCAGTCTGGCGGCATGCTCACCGCATGCTAGAGCGAGCGCGAGTGTGCGGGCGACTGCGAGTGCGAGTGCGAGTGTTAGTGGTAGTGGTAGTGGTAGTGGGAGTGGTAGTAGCTGTCGTAGTAGTGGTTGTAGTGGTAGCAGTGGTAGTAGTGGAAGTGTTGGAAGTTGTGGTTGTAGTGGTAGTAGTGGTGGTAGTGGTGGTAGAAGGAGTAGAAGAAACATTAACTGTTAGGATTGTGCATATGCTGATCATATACCTGAAGATGATGCTTATGATTGCTGTTCCACCTCGTGTTACCTCGACTGTGATGCAGGTATCCTTAACAAACAGGATCAGAGTTCCCAGACATATCCCGGAGCAAACCTGGGCACTTGTGTTTTTCAGGTCAAATTACCGAGAACCCCACAACCCAAACCAATCGAAGCCCTACACACATCCCTAAACACACGAAATGCGACCAAATCCCTCTAAAGCCCTGAATCCTCAACGTGAGCCTAGGAAGCACGCTGAGGGCATCGTCGCGAAGATGAGCCCGACCGTCGCTTCACTTGCATCGCATGTTTCCTACCAAGGAACCGAACCTAAACCCTAAACCCTAAGTCCTACACCCTTAATGTGAGACAGTACTAAAAACGGGTGATGCCAAAAGGGGACGGCCTATGGTAGTGGGGAAAAGGAAACAGTTGTATTGGCAAAGATTTAGGCACCTGTGATACCTTAAATGGGGCTGAGGGCTTCGGGCTTAGGGTTCAGGGTTTCGTGTGTAGGGCTTTCAATGCAGGTGAAGCGGGGCTGGCAGAGTCTTCGACGCCCGAACACCCTTACCTGAGGCCCTTAGGTTTCGGTGTAGGTGTTTGGACCCTAAACCCCAAACTCTAAACCTTTGGGTGTGAGGTTCACTCTTGCGGGGGTGTTGGGTTCTTGATCGAGTTCAGGTTCCAAGATAAGACCTGGGTTTATTGGCAAACGGTTATTGTGGCCTTCGACTTGGGGCTCTAGGGCATAGCTCGGGGGCTTGCTAGTAGGGTTGCGGGCCTTGGGGTTTAGGGTTAACCTTTGCAGGGTTAGAGTTTCCTTGCTTTCTGACCGTGCTCACGTACATGATTCTTGTTGACAGTGGCGCTATCCTTGGGTTTCTAAGAGCTTTGGGAGGTCTATGGAAGTCAGTGTCTGAGATTTGGTGTTGGGGTTGGGGGTTGGCTGATGCCTTCGCCCCTTAGCAAGGGATGCACATCGGTTCAGGGTTTCAACCCGGATTCTGAACCCCTGCCTTGGCAAAAATCTGGAAGAAAGGGCTCATCCTTGGTGTCGGTCGGCCAAGGGGGGGGGGGTTAGGGTTTAGGGTTTAGGGTTTGGGCTTGGGATTTGGGATTTCGGGAAACATCTAGAAAATCAGGGGGTCGTTTCTGTCATCAAATTCCTCAAATTTCTTGCAGAATTACATCTGGACACCCCTAGACCGTTTTGCTGCACACACCACTAGTTGGGGCCAATCCGAGAGATTTCCTTGCACTCAAACTTTGAATCCCAGCTGATACTTGCAGTCTTAGGGTGAAGGGCCTGTGGCTCTCCTAAATTAAGGACCCATTTGGGGTCCTATATGTAGTACGGCGCCCTTAGAAAGAGGGTTCCCCAAAACGGGACCCCCTAAATTTTGAGAACTACCCGTATGGTGCGTAGATTACCTATGGAGAAAGGACTTCAAGGCTTCGAACCTCCAATCTGGGCTGCCCTTACAGCTCTCAACAACCCCGAAAGACACAAGGGCAGCTTTGGGTCCATATGACATAGTACGGCACCCTTATAAACAGGAACCCCCAAAAGGGGCCCAATTTTAGAGAACTACCCACATCAAAAACCCGTTGCTCTTCAAACCAAAGCCAGATACAACATCTGAACCTCGAAGCCTGGAAACCCTTAGAGAAGCAAACCCCCAGGCTGTGGAATGGCCAAGTGAGGCATGGAGCTCACTTAAAGACGCGAATCAAATTGCGCTAGGATTCGGGGGGAGGTCGGGTTCCTGAGGGTTTAGGGTTTAGGGTTTAATGTTTAGGGTTTAGGGGGGTTACAAGAGCACAGCAAAGAGGCTGGTAGATCATCGCCATGGAGAGGAAGTAGGCGCCCAAGCAGCTGACCAGAATCCCTGGGGCAAGTGAGGCACGGAGCTCTTCTCAGAACTCTGCGACCCCAAAAAACCCCAAAAAAAGCGCTCTCTTGGGTGGTGAAAGCCCTGCACAAGTCAACAGCAACCAAACAAACCTGTCAGGAACTTTGCTGAGCCCCACAAGCCATGAGCCCAAAAACCAAGAGCGTCCTTAGCCCCAAACCCTACACCCTGCAACCTCAAGCCTCGAGAACACAAAACAACCCTTGCCCGTGCGGTCCAACGACATCGCCGCCCTTCGTCGAAAATGGCAGCCATGGTCGGCCAGATTAAGTGTTGGGCATTCGGGCGCCTTGGGGTGCTAGGCTTCTAGGCTTCGGGGCTGCGAGTAGCTGGGGGCTTGAAGGTTTAGAGGCTAGGCTTCCAAGAGATGGTTGAGGGACTGCTCAGGCAAAACACCCAGCGTCCTGCCTTTGGGCCTTCTCATGCTTGAGGGCTTAGGGTTCAGGGTTGAGCCCCAAACCCTAAACCCTAAACCCTAAACCCTAAACCCCAAATCGCTGAAGGCCGCAGAGGGATGCAAAGAGGCTTTGGGGTTTCAGGGTTGCGGGGGGGAGGGGGCTGACGGTTCGCTACCGGATGAGAGCCAGGGCTGCTACCAGAAGGCTGCTCCCACAGAGCGTGCTTATAGAATATGATCTGCATACACGTATACATATATACATATACAAATATATACATATATACATATACAGATATATGTATATATGTATATGTATAGAATAGTACTAATAATTCATATTCATGACAACAATGACTTTATTTCTATATTCGATTATTTATTTATGCATGTATCATAATGTTGGATCATTTTGTCTGTTATTTGACGTGGTACTGCCTTGTTGACAAGTATGTATGCATACACTGTGCAAGATTCAGACTGGCCCTAGGAGCATGCAAAACGCTTCTTTGTTGCCAAAGGAGAGCTGCACCAACACCTTGTCGGATGCTGGAACCTGCACCTCTGCAAGAGAGTTGTCGGCAATGGCATGCACGAACAGCCTCATGATTCCAAGGAACTCTGACTTGCTCTGTGGGCGGACTGCCTCACAGCTTTGCCCGGCAAAAGTAACCTCGCAGTTCTGGCCGTGAAGAGACCTACTCATGCTCACGCAGTCTTGCGCGTAGCCATGGCCGAGACTTGCTGCGGAAGCTCTCTGGATCTGGCTGCCAACCCAGCCCTTGGGCGCTGGGCAATCATCTCGCAAAGGCTGCATGCGCTCTGCAGAACCGAGTGCAGCGCTGCACAACTCGGCCATGCTCCTTAGGAGCCCTTTTGCGGTGCTGGTTGGCATGGAAGCATCGATGACGACAAAACCATCACGGTGCAACGCCTCGAAGATGGCCTTTAGGACAAGTTCTCTGGCGTAGCGTACTTTCCAGTCTTCATGCCCCTGTCGAGCTTCTGCTGCGAAGTACCGTTTGATTTCAAACCATGTTCGCGCCCCACTCACGCGTTCTGTCTTGGGAGCTGGCGTGCACTCGAGGGAATTTTGCACCTGCCAAAGCCTCGCGGGCGCTTGCTCCGCCAAGTCTAGCTCGTCGAAGTCAAAGGACATTCCAACGCTGTGCTAAGCTGGCCCGGGATCTGGACTGCCCTTGCATCCACAGCAGGTACGATCGCTCCCTTTTGGCTAGGAGTATTGAACTTGAACCGCTGCGCAAGACAAAGAATACAAACTCGATGGTGCACTTGCCACTCGCACAGACACAAGATGCTAGAGTCCAAGCTACGCAGCGCGTTTCCACCTCTGAAAGGGTTGCTTACTGAGAACATCCCTACAAAACCAGGCCCAAGAGCCCATGGGGTGGGCTTATGGGGCTTAGGGCGCAGGGTATCCACTTAAACCTGCTCTGAAAGGGTTCAGGGTTTGGGGTTTAGGGTTTACGCTGCATTCTTCTCTCTCTGGCTTGGTGTGTTTAAGGAGCTAACTGGCTTCTGTAGGGAGACAAAAGGACCCTAAACCCTAAACCCTCAACCCTAAACCCTAAACCCTGAACCCTAAACCGTGGAAGTATGGGAAGTGACGGGCATCTGGGAATTTGCGGGCTAAAGCCGAGGCTTGAAATCTCTGCCCTGAGCCCTTGAACCCTTAAACCCTCAGCCCGGAATGCAGAGGGTTTGGGGTTTGGGGTTTAGGGTTTAGGGTTTAGGGTTTAGGGTTTAGGGTTTAGGGTTTATGGCTAGACATGCGGTTCGGAACTTCACCCTGTCTTTGAAAACGCTTCGTGCATTTTGGTTGTCGAGCTTGGCGTTCACATCGTACAGGAGTTTTCGGTGTGGTTTATTTCCTGGGGCCCTTGCTTCAGGAATACGACCGACAGAACGCGCCTACAAGGGGAGCCTGGCAAGCAACCCCCAGATGTTGAGGCGAGCACGCCGAAGTGGGCGAAGTCCAGTCCTACTCAGACGGAGTTGCGAGGGTAGAAGCGTTCCTGTGGTTCAGGGCGTGTAAGGCTTAGGGGTGACATACGTAGCGAAAGAAAGAGAGATGCAGACATAGATTCTGGATATCTATGTAGATATGTAGATAAACATGTGGATATAGATACAGACTGTTGTGACTTGAGCTGTGGGGTTTGTGGCGCAGTGTTTCCGGTGGTGTAGGCCACCTTCCCGTCAACCGTGATTCATGCTCTGTAATTACATTTCAAGAAAAACGGAAATGAGCCTTTTTGGGGGGGAGGTATGTGGGCTAGTCTAGGTAACCCTCAACCCTCAACACCCCTCCATGCCCTCCCCCCTGCACCCGTGCCTACGGCGCGGCTGTGGCCACCCTCCTGCGCAGCGGAGGGCTCCGTCTGCACCGCCAAAGGGCACGCGTGCTGATGCAGCGCCTGATTGAGGGTCTCAAGGGCTTCGGATTCGGGACGACGCGATGTTGGAGTCCTACATGGCGTAGCAACTTCTTCGGGCCTAAGGCCCGAATCCGTAAAAACTCCCAAGGCAGACTTTTAAAAGCTGTCGAGGCGACGGCTTCTGCTCAACACCAGGCCGCCATGGTGATTCTTCTTATAGCTTTGCCCCACCACAGAGATACTTCTGCTAAGGTGCTTAACTTCTTTCTGGGTCGAGCATTCGTGCAGTATTCGCGCTGTTGGTCCAAAGGCCGACCTTGCTGCGCTGTGCTGCCTGATGGTGTGCGTATCTGGGTGTGCGTCTGCGGGTGTGCGTATGCGGGTGCGCGCATGAGGGTGGTATGCGTGCCACGAGTCTGCGGGGTGGCTCGGAGGGGAGCCTGATGATCTTGTCGGGTAGTAGTGCCGGTAGCGGCAGGCGTTGGTCGTCAGTGTGAGCAAGACGAAAAAGAACGATCACCCTAATCATGATGAAAATGCACAGGTGAGAATTGCAATGATAAGATGCATTGGTGGCGACAAGAGCTTTAGAAGGAAAGTGGCCGCATGATCTGGCTCATGAGAATCAGAACGGCGATAACAACGAAGAACCCCAGGGTTGGAGGGGAGGTTTTGGGCCTACTCACATATATTTAATGACCCTAACCCCTAATAAAGTCCTGAAGTACTATACTGTCCAAACCCCAAGCCCACACCCTGAACCCCCATCCGCGCACCTGCAGGAGCGTGCGCTTTCCGATTCCCGGGCCTTTGCCCAGGGCCAACACGACAGGTTTCGGGTTCACGCACATTCAAGGCACAGACCCACATGCCCTGGCTAAGACCGAACACCGAAAGAATCGCCAGGGACCGCACGGCCCAGACATAGGAGCTTCGCATCTGGAGCCTTGGCTGCGGTGGCCTTGGTCAAGTTTAGGGTTTAGGGTTTAGGGTTTAGAGTTTAGGGTTTAGGGTTTAGGGTTTGGGGTTTGGGGTTTGGGGTTTAGGGTTTAGGCCAGGGAGTTCTGGGGGGGGTTTGGGGTCTTGGGCTTCGTGCTTGCGAGGACTGCGCTCTTTATATGGGTTTTGGGTTTAGGGTTTAGGGTTTAGGGTTTAGGGGTTTGGGGTTTAGGGTTGTTTCAGGGTGGAGAGGACTGCAGCCTAACGGGGCACCTGCACGTGCGGGCTGGCGAAACTTATGGGCCCTTTGTTTACTGGGTTTAAGTGTTCAGTGCTCTTTGCTTCGTGTTTAGGGTTTAGGGGTGTCGGTTTTCGACAGTTCAGGTGGCAAAAGCCTCCACCATAAGACCAAACCCCCATGTGCACCTACTGGCCCACCGCCCCCTTTCCGAGGAGAAAGGAGGTAAATATTAGGGGGATGATGGGATTGGTTGGGGGTTGAGGACTTGAGCATTGGGCCCCGCCCCTAAACCTCCTGAAACTGATGGCTCGGAAAGAGAAAAACGGCCCGGTCTGCTCTCTAGGGCGCTCCTCTGGGGTAGCTGGTTTCGATAAACTCGTGCACTACCCGCGGGGCTGCAGCATAAGCAGCTGCGAAGCAGAAACATCCTTCTTAGCCCTGAACCCTAAACCCTAAACCCTAAACCCTAAACCCACATCTCAGGGAGCCCCGCCACTTCTGTGAGGAGTGACTCCCACATGCCTGCAGGCTCAGTGAGGGCTGAGCTCCGTGGATTTCGAATCTTAAGACCGGAGATGCCACCGCGGGGTTTTTTAGGGTTTAGGGTTTAGGGTTGAGGGTTGAGGGTTGAGGGTTGAGGGTTGAAGGGTTGAGGGTTCAAAAGACCGACCAGGACATCGGGCGAGGAGCACACGGGCCAGGAAACGGGCTCACCGAAATGTCCCAAAACGAGGGTGGTGAGAGTAAAACCAAACGCAGAGCCCGTTGGTAGACCAGTAACCATATCAAAATAAGGGCACTCTTTTTGAGGGCTGGTTACTTTATAAGGGAACCCATAACCCAAACAAAGGCTGAAGGGTACCACTGGACTGAACCTCAATACTCCAAGCCCTGTGTCCCAAACCCAAGCCCCTCAAACTCTGATCCCAAAACTCCCTAAACCCTAAACCCTAACCCCTAAACCCTAAACCCTAAACCCTGAACCCTAAACCCTAAACCCTTTACCCCCGGCTCCCTTATTGGAATTGAAAAAGGAAAAAACAACCCAACAAAAGAGATGTGCCGTCTGAAGAATGTGGTCACCCCCTTTTTTGTCCGAAGAAGAGCTGCCCTACCTACTATAGGGGTCGGAAGAATTGCTATTTGAGTCCCTTCTGATCTCTACAGAATTCTACCCATAGGCTCCACACTTGAAAAAAATCAAGCGCACTTGTTTTTTTCAAGCGGAGCTTGAAAAAGCAAAAAATTCAAGATGTTTTTCAAGTTCTTGATTTTTGGGGATTTCGTTGAAATTGAGACGATAACAAATGAAAATTCAAGATTTTTTTCAAGATCGAAATTCTACGTTTTTTCAAAAATCAAGCGCAGATTTTTAAAATTCAAGATTTTTTTCAAGATTGAAAACCAACCAAAAACGGAAATTCAAGATTTTTTTCAAGATTGAAAACCAACCAAAACAGAATAAAAACAAGATACATGATTATATTATATATATATGTGTATTACATTATTTTATATTATATACGATCATTGATTGGTGAGCTGCCTGTCTGTCCAGACATTGCCCATTAACCGCCTGTCCATGCATGATTTTCTCATGTCCAGGCTATTGCATGAGAGCTGCCTCTCCAGGCATTTTTTCTCGATCTCTATTCCAGACACCATGACCTGCCTGTCCAAGCATTAAGACACAACATGTCTGTCCAGACATTGCCCAGATCCTGCCTGTCCAGGCATTGAGACATCGTTTGACAACCTATAAGTTCAAAAGTCTTTTTCAATCTTCCTGATCCATGTCAAGCCATCCCTTCAGGATCAAGTCATGAAACAAGGCGAATTTGCTGCAAACCTTTTCAGGTACCTGCCAGGCGGCAGTTCCACGATCACAGCTGCTAGCTATCCTTTTCACTATGGACATAAAACTCTCCGGGCCGTATGTCCAACATGTTCTGGGTGTGGCCCATCTGCACTGCTCAGGAAAATGGGCCAACAAGTGGAACTTCTGCACGATGCTGTATCTCGTCTTGCCTTTGCGAAATGCAGCCTTGGCCAGGTATGCATAGTGGGACAGAAAGGCATGCACGGCCTTGTCAAATTTCTCGTGGTTCTTGCTGCTCCAGAACCATTCTTTCCGATCAGCCAAATCATACAGAGTTTTCATTGCCTTGCAAGCTTCTGCTCTGTGTCGTCCCTCTTCCGTCCCCGTGAACTTGTTCGCCAGCACAACCTAAAAATTATGTCAAAGGTTGGGAGTAGATGTGTGCACATTTAGATAAGATATTTTACCATGCATCCAGGAAACAGCCACATCGGCAAAATCCCTGATCTTCCGGCCCTTGATGTGCAGCAGGCACGGGTAGTCAGAGGCCCCCACGAGGTTGGTCTTGGCGATCTTGGGAATTCTGCGATTGGCAGGGATTCCCAGCTCGACATATGTTTCCATGATCCTCAGCAGCTATATAGAAAAACGAAAATGCGACACCCTGCAGCTTAAGCCCGGGCCACAGACAATATAATATAGCCTAGCGGCAAAGCATTCAGTGCAGCCATCCTCTCTAAAAAAGAAGAACCAGGGAGCTCGTCCTGCACCAAGTCGTAGAGCAGGTTCCCGAACAGGTGTGCCTGACTGTCAGATGTACATATAGTCGATCATCAATTCCATCTATATATATGTATATATCAGGAAATCGTATTATGTACTCAGGGAAAGTCTAGACCACCAAGATCGAAGCCCAGATGCACTGCACCCCAAGTCTACCATGTGAAGTAGGTCCAGTTTCAGGCTCCAGGCATTCACTCCGGGGACACTGAACAGGAGGTGACCGTTGTTTGGTGGGGCCTTGAGCATGCCCCTCCATGCAGCACATGGGCGGAAGTCGTTGAACGGTGCCACCTCTTTGTCCTTGTTGAAGAGGTTGTCCGCCTTACAGTAAGGACACGGCTGGTTGCTCAAGGCAGTGGGCCATCCAAACTCTTGGGCAAAGAATTCCAGATCCCCAGCCACAGCCATCAACACACATCGCCTCAAAGGCTTGCCGTCTGGACGCTTGCCTGCAGCCAGGACACTCAGACTGGCAGTGAGTTCCTTCCACAAGGCTGTCCAAGAACCAGCATTGGCATCTTTCGGCAGGCAAGCAAGCAGCAGCTCGGAGCTCTTAATCGACCTGTCCGATATGAGGCAGCGAATGCTGACCACCAGCATGCTGTCAGTTTCAGAAAAACTGGCATGGTCACCATGTATCAAAAGTGGTATTGGCAGCTCCTTCTGGACGGAGAAAGTTTTCCAAAAAGGGTCCTTCATCTGGGGGCTCTTGAAGTTCACTTCTGACCAATACTGCTTCAATGCTGACGTACTGGCTGTAATACTTTCAAGCACACCGCCTTTGTCGAGGGACTCGATCCACAGATGAGGGAGCCTCAATGAAAAATAGTCAGTTAAGTCGTTTATTCAAATCATGCAGCTGCTGATTCAACTAGTTCAAACTATTTCAGTGATGCCTGCCGAGCAGCAGCACAGGCACGTTCTTGGGGGTCACTTTCCTTTCACCAGTGGCCAAATCTCTAAAGGAGACGTTGGTCTCGACGAAGGTCAGTCTGGGGGCCATCACATTGCTGAAGGCGAATTTCATCAGATCTCTGTGGGCGTTCTGGCTTGAATTGCCATATGCTCCCAATTGAGCCATCTTGGCCAAGTCAGGAGCATTTGCACCTTATATTAATGCATATGTCTACAGCCAAACGAAAAATATACACATTCGAACAAGACACCACTCTTCACGGCAGCATGGGCGTATTCCTGCAGCTTGCTGGCCGGCATCTTGCCTTCAGCGAAATCCCGGAGCATCATCAGTCCCATGGGCGAGGGTTCCATGGCATCCAGCCTTTCAGAGGCTCTTTTTCTTTTCGTCATATTTGCAAAACACACTAGAGCCCATACATGGCTGTATATAGATTCTTTCATGCATGCTTATAAATTTACAAGTCATATAGTGGCAGTCCAGCCATTGACAGCTTTCATCCCTCGAGGCTGTCCAGCCTTTAAGCTATACATGCCCGTCTAGGCTGTCCAGCCTTTGACTGCTCTGCATCGACCTTGCATGCATGAGGCTGTCCAGCCTGTGAACTAGAGTATGACTCAATGCAACAGCATGCTCTCAGAACCGTACTTTTTCATGAATTTCTCATTGTCTGCATGCATGCAGTGGTTAATTAAAGCCCATATGTTCGTCTTCTCTGAAGAGACACCGGCTGCCACTAGCTCAACAACTCCTGCAATGCTCTGCACAGTTGCCTGGCTTTTCCGGCCTTCTTCTCCCAGGCCCGTTTCGGTGTCAAGCCCACCATGTCCTCGACGGTAAACAAGCTGTGCACAAAGTCAAAGTCCAGGGCTGGGTGCTTGGAGATCAAACTCGAGACAAAGTCGCCTCGCTTGCGGATTCTCATTTCCTCGGTCGTCTCCAGCTTCTCGTCCATGGGTGGGGCCATGAAGCTCAGCAAGGTGGACTTTTCTGTGTCAAGCTAAAAACCTTCACCACGGGGCCAAAACTGCGACTTTTTTTCTCCAGACTTGACAGCAACTAGTTTAAAGCATAGACCAGGTGGCTGTCCAGCCATTGATGTTTTAGCGTGGCTGTCCAGCCATTGATGCTTAAAAAATGTTTTAAAAAACAAGCTAGCATGCATGTGTATAAGAGCAGAGCAAAAGTGGATATCACACAATAGCCATGCAGTTTATCAGTATATATATATATATATAACGATGTAACATAAATTGCACATTTGTGTAGCACTATAAATGGTATATTGCATACAAAGAAAACACTATATTAATATAATTTATTTCGCACATCTACTTATAAGATAACACACACAGACATATACATATATATATATAATGTGCACATACATATACACACATTTCAGGTTTCAATATAGACTGTTAGCAAGAGTATATATTTGTATAAAAAGAAAACATTAAGAGATAGAATACTTGATATATCCTAGTAGAATAGCAGACACGATACGTGCAAAAAGTAATCAAAATAATATTTCAAGAGCAAATGAAAAATCAACCAAACCAGAAATACCATACATGTGGCTGTTCCAGCCATTGATACTTTTTCGCATGGCTGTCCAGCCATTGATGTTTTAGCGTGGCTGTCCAGCCAGTAATATGTGGCCAATTTTCGGCTTGCAAGCTTCAGATAAACCTATACTGGCAGATCTAGCGGTCCTCGGGAGGAAGCTGTACAGTAAATTAAAATGTCGAGGGTCTAAGCTAGATGCCAAAACCGATCTCTGGCCGATCTTCAGTGGCCTCAGTCAGTCCTTGCTCTTCCTCTTCTTGTCCTTGCAGCAATCCATGGCCTTCGCCGTCTTGCTCTTTTTGAGGGCATTCAAGCCGGCCACCAGGGCCTCCTTCACCTCCTCAAGCTTCAGGGTTTTGCGGGCTTTTTGAAGGGTCTGCAAGGCACCTTCCAAAGAGGTCTGGGTCTTCTTCACGAAGGTCTTCTCGTCGGCGTCGGCCTTCTCAAGGTTCAAGGCCTTGAAAAAGTCAGTGTCCTTCTGGATCTCCTGCAGAAAGCTGTCGATCTTGCTCTTGAACTCGGGCTTGCCGTCAGCATCTCCCAGCTGGGAGGTTTTCTCCCAGTCTTTCTCACTAGATCTGGTCGAGCTGTCCTTCGAAGCTTTCTTCAAGATCTTCACTTTGAGCTTCTTCTTCTTCTTTTTCTCTGAGGAGGAGCTGGAAGAGGAAGCCCCAGAGCTGCCCTCAGTCGCTCCGATCTTGGTCAGGATCAAGTTCTTCACATCCTCGTCCACCTCCATGCTCTCCAGGGCGGTCTGCATCTCGAAGTCCTCGGCCGTCACATCCTCGATCTTCAGGCCCTCCATGTCGTGCAAGAGTTTCTTGTCCACCTTGCCACCCTCGGTTTCCACCTGGGTCTTTCTCTTCTTGACGTGCTCATGCGAGAAGCTTTCTTGCACGTGTCTGAACTCCAAAAAATTCCTTGGCTGGTTTCTTCAAACTCAAAAGACATTGCTCCCCATATAGGGTTTAGGGTTTAGGGTTTAGGGTTTAGGGTTTAGGGTTTAGGGTTTAGGTATGAGTATAATATATAAGAAAAGAAGCCTCTTATAATTCAAGCAAAGCCTCGTGTCTGACGGTGACCGTCTGTATTTCAACGATCCGTTCTCGAGTCTCTGAAGTGCTTCTTTCTTGCCGAACTTCTTGCACACCTGCTTCCACGAGATCCACTGCACCTCTGTCTTGTGCCGGTCCAGGGCCTCAAAGGCCAACTGAGCTTTGCGAAAGCTCGGGCCCACGGAGCAGCCGTCGCTGAGCCACCCACGTAAGAACTCGTGCTTCTTGTTCGTGGCACCAGAGCCATTCGTCAACTTCTTAAAGTCCTCATCCACCTTGTTGGCTTTGCGATCGCGTTCAAAGAGTTTCCAAAGAGCTTGTTGCTCGGAGGGCTTCAACTTCCTGAATGCCTCGTGCAGCTCAGTCGCACTCCATCCCCGAGCCTCCATCAAATCTGTGTGCTTCTTCACGTTCTTGAGTGTGAAGGGGTACTTGGTGACAGCCTTGGCAAGCTTCTCCTGTGGGTCGACCACGGGGTCCCCTGTTCTTTCCTCCTCTTCACCGTGTTCGCCCTCGTCAGCGTCCATGTTTTCAAGGACCTCCTCTTTTGTCTGGGCCTCTTTTGTCTTGGCACTGGGCTTTTTCAGCACAGCAGCTGCAGCAGCAGGCTTCTTGTTCGTCGGCATAGCTTAACTATATAGCTTCTCTGAACCTATCTGAAACTGGGGGCCAAAGATCTGGGGACACATAGTGCGTGCACATGCACAGAAAAATATACATAGTATTGTTTATATATATATATAATACTAATAATATTAGTATATTTTATATATATATATAATATATATATATATATATATATATATATATATATTATATATACATATATATGTGTGTGTGTGTTCATTTATTTATACATTTATCTATCTAAATTTTGCTTTGAGTCATGTGTTTACTCCTTGATGCTATATGTATCGATCTATTTATAGCATGGAAACATTATAGGGTTTAGGGTCTAGGGTTTAGGGTTTGGGATTTGGGGTTTAGGGTTTGGGGTTCAAGATTTAGGGTTCAGGGTTTAGGGTTTAGGCCTGGTTTAGGGGCTTCTTTGTCTGGACAGACAAGGGAAAGTTTTTTTCGGCGGTGTCTTGTCTGGACAGACAAGACACCAGAGGAGAACATGTCTGGACAGACAAGGGAGAATTTTGTTTTCGGCGGGGTCTTGTTTGGACAGACAAGACACCAGAGGATAATATGTCTGGACAGACAAGGGAAAGTTGTTTTTTCGGTGGTGTCTTGTTTGGACAAGACACCAGAGGAGAACATGTCTGGACAGACAAGGGAAAGTTGTTTTTCGGCGGTGTCCTGTCTGGACAGACAAAACACCATGTCTTGTCTGGACAGACAAGTTGGGGGAGGGGGGGGGGGAGCGGGTCGTGTCTGGACAGACAAGTATGATGCCTTTTCTGGACAAGATCAGGGCGTTAATACGGCAGGAGGGAGGGGGGGGGGGGGTGGGTGTGTCTGGACAGACACAACTATATGGGGACGAAGCCTCTCTGGACAGGCGATACTCAATAAGGGGGGAGAGGGGGGGGGGGGGGGGGTTGTGTCTTAAACCCTAAACCCCAAACCCTAAATCTTAAACCCTAAACTCTGAACCCTAAACCCTAAGCCCTAAACCCTAATCCATAAACCCTAAACCCTAAACCTTAAACCCTAAACCCTAAACCCTAAACCCTAAAGCTTAAACCCTAAATGCTTTTTTTCTTGTTTTCCACAGAAAGACACATGACAACATGTGACGTTTTCTGCTTTTTCACAGAAAGACACATGACGTCATGTGCTGTTTTCTGCTTTTTCACAGAAAGACACATGACGTCACATGTTTTCTTTTGGCTCTTTTTTTGAAGACACATGACATCACATGATTTGTGTCGGGTTTCCACAGAAAGACACATGACGTGCAGTTGTTGGCACAGCTTGTCATGTGATGTGCGGGTTTCTTTCACATGACATACTGTGACGTGTTTTTTGGGTCACAGTATGTCATGTGTCTTGTTTGGTGTGCCACAATGTGTCATATGACGTTTTTCGATGCCACAGTTTGTCATGTGACGATTTGGGCGTCGTCACAGAATGTCATGTGATCTAGTTCTTGTGTCACATGACATTCTGTGACTGGCACAGATCGTCACATGACGTGTGCTTTGCTTTCACAGAAAGACACATGACAGCATATGACGTTTGGTAGGTTTCCACAGAAAGACACATGACAGCACATGACGTTTGGTAGGTTTCCACAGAAAGACACATGACAGCACATGACGTTTGGTAGGTTTCCACAGAAAGACACATGACAGCACATGATTTGTGGTAGGTTTCCACAGAAAAACATTCTAGGGTTTAGGGTTTGGCGTCAAACCTTTTAAGGTTTGGCGTCAAAAACCTAAAGCCTAAAGCCTAAACCCTAAACCCTAAACTCTAAACCCTAAACCCTAAACTCTAAACCCTAAACTCTAAACCCTAAACCCTAAACCCTAAACCCTAAACCCTAAACCCTAAACCCTAAACCCTAAACCCTAAACCCTAAACCCCAAAGCTTAAACCCTAAATACTAAACCCTAAACCCTAAACCCTCCAGGTTTTAAGGACTAAGCTTCGAGGTTTTAAGCTTTTACTTGTCTGTCTATTTTCACGATATAATGTATATATTTATATATATAAATTATATTTATGATGTTTCGGTCTTGTGGTTTTATGACATCTCTATG